AATGAAGTAGTCTATTTATAGGAGCCTCGGGGCTAGGGTTTCGTAGAGATCGAGTCGGACTTAGATAATATCTGATTTAATGATATTATCTTCTCTTTATTGAAGATAATATCTGAATTAAACGATATTATCTCTTTTTATGAAGATAATATCTGAATTAATGATATTATCTTCTCTTTATTAGGATAATATCTTAATTAATGGTATTATCTCATTAAATAAAGATAATATCCCATTAATTAAGATATTTATCCCAATTAATTAATTGGCCAGATAAACTGGTTCAATTAATTAATTTAAGAGATAATCTTCTTTTCCACGTGGCGTGCCCTGATTGGAGATGGAAATATTTGCTCCCACAGTACCGCCCTAGAGTGTCGACGTCAACAAAAACCATATTCAAATGTTATGGGAATGATTACCGATTTCCATCTACTTAATTGTTGCTTTTAGTAGCCATTGATGGTGATGGCACAACATTTGTATGGAAGAGGCTGAGTTTTTAAACGTATGTGTTGTGCAGGACACTGATCTTAGTGATGAGGATTGGGCTGCTTCAGATGGTAACGAGACAGGGCGTATAGAGAATTAGAGATGCACCCGTGTCAAGCAAAGTGATGTGATATTACTCCCTTGTGCAAGGCCCAAGGGATGATGATGATGATGATGATGAATGTTGATGAGCTTTCTTTCTCGCTCGCTCGCTTAATGTTATAAGAAGAGCTCCTCAAAAATGGACACATTGCCTGCCTGCCTACCTGCCTGCTGCATGTTGTAATCTTCACTTCTTATTATTGGCAGGCATAGATTGTTATGTTTTTAAGATGATATATCCGCCCTCTTGTTCCTCTTTCTTCTTCATATCTGTTTTTATCCGAAACTAATAAATAATGCATTTGACATCTTAAATTTTAATATAGACAAGGTATAGCCATGATGCTGACCGTTTGAGTTGAGATGCTACAAAGCCCTTGAGGCTTGAAATCTGGATGAGATTCAATTTAATTTCCAAGTATATTTCTTAGCTAATTATATTTATTTTAAAAAATATAGCCGCGCAGTTATACATTTTAAATATATGTGTTTGGGCCAAAAATTGACACATCCAGCCCAGCGAAAAGAAGGAAGCCCAAAAAACCAGAAGAGTCCAGCCCAAGGCTCATCAGACCAACAATGGAGCAAACAAGGCTGATTTGGGCCTCACAGGCCCAAACATAATAGGAAGAGGGAGTCCAGAAGAAGGAACAATCCCACGTGGCAACCTCTGGGATAAAAAGTCAGCAATGGC